TGGATCCAAAAGGTTGTTTAGTTTTTTTTTTTTTTTTTTTTTTTTTCAGATGCGAACTTTTTTATGCTTCTAAAATGTTACGATATCTCGTAAAGTTGGATTTATTGTAATAGTTACCATTATCCTTTTTAGGGTCTAATTATTGGAGAAATCGTGTTCTTACAGTTGCAAAGGATTACAGAAGGAAAGCATATTTTGCTATAAGTAATAGGGACGATTTCTCATTTGTAAGTATACGGTTATTATATGTTCAATTTAATCAGTTCTTTTCCTTTCATATGAGAAATTTTGTTCATGCCGGTTTTTTTCTTCGTATTTCGTTGTTGATTTTTCAAGTCGATGACAAGTTATTCGGTTAAAAGACACCCCTGCCCAATTTAATGGATTCGTTAGGTGCAATTCAGCCCGGTTATTCAATTGTGGTCAGTCTGGAATCTTTTCAGGCGATTGCGTTATTGAGGTGTGTCTTGTTTTCAGGACCTTGATGAATTTGGCTTAGCTAATCGTAAAGATACTAAACCGCTTGTTGCAGCTCGTAGTAAGAAAGGCAAATTCTTCATGAAAGAAGAGTTCAGGTAATTGCTTTGATTACTGCAAATGTGTATTTTTTCATGCTTTTTCTCATTTTTTATTGAAGCTGCCAAAAATAAAGTAGCTTGAATATGGCTATCTTTGCCAGCGACGACTAATGAAAGCTTCAAAAATTGGCATGTGATTAGTTTTCCTAACATGTTATCTACATGAACATGTAAGGTTTGTAATCATCATCCGCGATAAATTGAGTGTAATTAGGTGATAACAAGTACTTGAAGAAAGTACTCAACTTATAGTTAACAATAAAAAAATATAGTATAGAAATAATTTTGAGACCTTGATTCATTTTACACAATTTTATTGGTGATCAAAAATGAATAATTTCAGCGTGGAAAATTTGAGAAAATTTGTCGAAGACGTTATAAATGATAGATTAGAACCACATATGAAAAGCGAAGAACCACCGGAAGAACAGGGCGATGTTAAGGTCTGTTCCCGTAATCCGGTTAAACTTTCAAATCCTTTAAAAATTAGCTGTAAGCAATATCACAAACGTTAATGTTCTCTCCATTTTTCAACATTAAAAAGGAAGTTAAGTGCATTTTATATTATCTAACCACTGATACTCTAGCTCCACTTCCTTAGCATAATGGAATTATCTCCTCTTTAGCACAAATAGTCGGTCATTTTCATTGTGGTTATTTTGTTTCGTTTCGGTTACAATATGAACTTTTCATCACAATGAGGAATATTAGAACTTGGTTGTAAATGAAATTTCCTTGAACTTAGTAAGCATTGATATCATCTTTTGACTGAAAATGTTTAGGCGTATTTTCATTAGATTAATTTGGCATTGAATTTCTATTTCCTATATTCTTATTCAGTTAGGTTTCAAAAACTTCTGAGATAAAGAAAACTATGCATAGTCATAAATTCCTTTTTTTTTTTTTTTTTTTTATTATTATTATTTCCTATGAAATGCTCTTTTGCCGGTTATCGACTGTTAAAATACTAGACCAAACTTAAATTCTTTGAACTTGAGTCAGGTTAATTTCCGCGTTTATTATTTTTTTTATATTCCGAAAAATCGTTTCTGTCGTGGATGCCCTTGTGATTATTTCAAATATTTTAGGTTGTTGTTGCTAAAACATTCCAAGAGATGGTTGTTGATGTGAAAAAGGATGTCCTGATCGAATTCTATGCTCCATGGTGTGGACATTGCAAGGCACTAGCACCTAAATATGATGAATTAGGCCAGAAATTATCCGGCGAACCAGGTGTTGTTATTGCAAAAATGGATGCAACGGCTAACGATGTACCGCCACCTTTCCAAGTGCAAGGGTAAGCTTCAACTATTTTTATGTGCTTTAATTACATTATTTTTATTAATTTAAAAAGAAAATTATGGAAGTATGAAGTATTGTATATCGTAAACATTCGGTGGTGATTGTGTAAATACATGCTAATATAATCAGGCTTTGGTTTATTTAAGTGCCTAGCTTCCAAATAATAGAGTCCGATATACCTATAATTGTTTTCAGTTTGCTGTATTTCAGCACTGCTTAGTCGTTACCAGTGTATTCCATTATATTGTAATTAGGTTAGATTTTATTATGCAGTCTAAATATATTCCTCTTTTGCATCGCAAATGTAGAAATCCGTAAACGGTCATAATAATTTTGCATTCTTTGAGAGAGACTTAACCTGCATACAAAATTTTCCTTATCACAGTTGAATTAGCAATCCTTACCTACAGTGGAAAACTTTTTCTTTTGAATCAGATGCTTCGATTCTTTTACCTGTTTGAATGACTGTTCTCCACTATTCTATCAAACAAACAATGTCGTTATGTCATACCATAACTCTCTTTTCATCATGTATATACTTATAGCTACTTGCCTCACACTGAATGAGATTCAACTATACAGTTGATTACTGAGTGTCATTCCTGGCCAAGCTTATTTTTTATTTTTATTTCATCATTATATCTTTAAAACTTATTTCTTTATATCATTACGACAACTATTACTCCTCGTGATCTGTTTTCCGCACCACAAATTAATGATTCTGGGCTCTTGAACTTTCTTCGTTACTTTCTGCAAGCTTCAAATTTGGGATTAATATAAAGCATAAGTTTGTAGAACAAATGATGATTCTACCTCATTTTTATCGATATGATGAAACATAAATGATGACACTCATTTTTATCGTCATTCTTTGCATAAAATCCTTTGTAAGTATTTTTTCTCTGTCGTTTTGTCTGAAGGTTTCCTCAGATTTGTAGTCTTCTCCATAAAAGTTCTTGGATTTTCACTCACTTGCGTTTCCTGTACATCATTTTCCGATTTCTTTCAGGTGTGTTCTTCTGTCCTCAATAGTTTGATGAAATGACATGCATGGTATTTGATAAGGCTTTCACCACCAGTTCTTTTAGAATTAGGCTTTGTACCGGAGTGGTTGAAACCTCCTATTGTATTGCTTTGACTTTTGTTTTTAAATTGCAGGTTTCCAACCCTTTATTGGGTACCGAAGAATAGGAAGGATAAACCAGAACCATACTCTGGCGGTCGGGAAGTAGATGATTTTATCAAATACATTGCTAAGCATGCAACGGAAGAATTGAAAGGATACAAAAGAGATGGAAAGCCGAAGAAGAAGAAGGAAGAATTATAAACGGTTTGAGTTACTGGTAAACTGAAGCTGAAGAATCTACGGTCGTAAAATGAAGAATGTTGGAATGTAAGTTCGCTTATTGCGGACTTATTATAGCAATCCGTTTCATTCATCCATTGTCGGTTAATGTTAATTAATTGTTATTTAATTTATTGAGTATATATATATTCATTTATTTAAATTTAAAGCCTCATTTGCATTTAATTCTGATTTTCTTGGATTTAAATTTTAAATTCTGATTTAAATTAAATTGGAAGGAGGAGACGTGGGGCTATTTTCTAATTCATAATCCTTTTTTGTGGTTAGGTAGATTTTATCTGTTGATAACACAGTTTCTTGTTTTATTCCAATTTTGCCGTAAACTATCTCGTTATCTAATGCATTGCCTTTCGGCCATTTTTTTTCCAAAAACTGAATGGTTAAGTCATAGGCTAGCTCTTTTGCTTCTTGATTTTCTTTCTGTTTCCACTCCCTGAAATATCAAACACTGTTGCTGTTGTTTCTTTTTTTTTTGACTTCTAACATTCATATTTATTAACATCAGTTATCGGTAAACCATCCGTAACAGGTGATGAATTTACATTTTATGTGGAATCCGACGAACCTCGGTTGCTTGTGCTGGACAGATAAATCATTCCATGGAGCTGTGATGTGAATTTTTGCTTATCTTTTCTTTTGGTTCACTTTGATAATTTCACATAAAGTAATTTTTTTCCAGTGCCTTAGGCTGCTTCATCAGTTAGGTTGTTTTATCAATGTTCGTTTCTTTAGCTTAGGCTTCTTTTTAACCTATATATTATTGTTGTTATTGTCGTATCCTTTCTCAACTTCGTCTGTTTTTAAATTTTAAATAAATTTTTTGAAAAGTTAAAATTCTTGCATTTTTGTGTATTAAATAGTACAGGAGAAAATCAAAGGATTGAGAAACTTCTCAAGGTAATTTGTGGAAGAGAGGGAGAAGGAATTCGACAAATTTGAAATTCCGCTTATTCATTTTGTAGCTGAGAGTGTCCCGTTTGGAATATCTTGCTTCTCCCACTTCAATAACGTTTGGGTTTTGTGTTGCGTCGCGACTCGCGTGCTGCGTCTTTTTCCTTCTGCAGTGATGGTGATGATGATGATGATGATAGTGGTGCAAGTTATGGTGATCCCGAAGTCGGTGACGAAGTTTACCAGGATTTTTGGGGCGATCGGGAATGGTCTTCGTGGGTCGGAACTTCCCTCAGTACTACTTCCACTCCGACAGCTTCTCCAGGTGTGGGATATTTCTCCCGCTAAGTTCTACGTTATTCTTGCTTCCTATTGACGTAGTAACTGTTTATTGATCGCTAATTCTGCACATCGAAAATTTATGTGTGATCGGCATGTGTACGTGTCTGTATTTATGTATGTATGTATGTGTGTGTGTGTGTGTGTATTTCATATGGTTCTATGGTGGCATATGTGATATGTTTTTCGAGATTTTCTGGAAAGATACGATATGAATGCTTTTATTTTCCTGGGTTATAATACAGGCATTTTGCGTTCAAGAAATTTGGGGAAATCAATAACGTCTGCATCTGATATAATATATATCTTCGATTGAGTGCCTTATGTTGTGATAAGTACAGATCGTATTTCTAGCCTTATTCTAATATAGAGTTTTATGTTTTTTGCTAACAGACAATACGCTTTGATATTACCAACAGCCTGGGAACTCTCAGCACTCCTTAATGGATCAGTGGAATAAATTGAAGTCGCATTTCGGATTCTGTTAGCTTATCAATCCTGTTAGCTTATCAGTTGTAGACAAGTTAGTCTGCACTCCTTATCACCGCTTCATCCCAATTCGCTCGCTTCATCCAATTCAAGCACCACTGCTCTTCACGAGTAATTTTCCAAACTTTGTCAACAATCTTGGAACTCTTCCAAGTCCTTTCTGTGTGTTGTTCCTGTGCTTTTCGTTTGCTAAATTAGAATTAAATCTCAAATGGTACATTTCCACATGCTAATCACCTTTCCTAACATAATCTCGAACGTGAAAACCCGCCGTGAAACGACCTCCGCAATCGAATTAGACTTACTGAATTTTGTGCTACAACGAGTAACAGACATTGCAGCACTATAACCTGGAAAACAGCAATACCATTTTTTGGTATTTCTATGTAATGATGATTGTTTTGTAAATGCAAGCTTATGTAAGGGATGGTAATAGCTTGAAAGTTTTGAAAGTCCTTCAAGAAGAACAAAAAATCCAGTACTTTACTTAAAATAAAGTTTGTGATATTATTTCTCTCTCTATCTTTCGAAGAATAATGTGATGGATAAGGAGCGAATTATTTTTGTAGATTAGAAATGAACCGCTTCTAATTCAGTCAAAACTAACTTTTTGGACTAACAATGATAACATTTGTACCCTCATCAGCTGAAAGGGAATACCGAAGAGAGAATGGAAAATAAAATATCTTCTGATATTAGCTGTCTCTATCAGCTTTAGGCAGAATTTCTGTTTTGCTGATTGGTCCGGGATGGATGCTAGCCCTTCTGAATGTAAAAACATCCCAAACAGACTAAGGAGAAAAAATCGAAAAGAAACACACTTTTTCGGTTGCATGATTAAGCATCCATTAATTAAATTGATTTTGTTGAAAACAACTTTCAAATTTGAATTGATCGCCGTCATAAATCGATTGGATGTTGCATGCATTTTTTTTTAAATTGATGTTAATTTTTGGATAGAATGTTATTTATTTATTTTTCAAAACACGCATCACAAATCAAGAACTTGTTAAATGTTATCTTTCTTCATAACTATTTGGCAGATTAAAGGTTCCAAAATCATTGAATTTTTTTTACGAACGTTTTGATATTTCGAACTGTTTGTACGAAATAGGCTATTCATGACAATTTTTCAGAATAATAAGACTCTCCTAGGTCTTTCTTTTTCAATTTTTATCAGTAATAACCTCCAAAAATTTTCAGTTCCACTCATTTTATTCAAAAAGCCATTCTTTAGTCAGTAATTGTCCACATTGTCATCAGCACAATGTCCCTTTTTTTTCATTATAACCATATGCAAAAGAGACTTTTTTTTTTTTTAAAAATCTAATTTAAATTATTTGCTTTCTTCCCATATTTATTTATTACCTTTATGATGAACTTCTACGGAACATATGAGCAATATTATAATAGTCAAATTAATTAAATTAAAAGTGATATAAATCTGGGTACACTGATCTGTTACATCACATTAATGACATTCGATACTAGGTGAAGCAGATATGAATTTATCGTCTTTTTTCTCTTATCAGAAAAGTGGGACATCATTTGTACCAAATGTTTTCCTTTCCACTAATCACCTAGTTTGGTCTGTCTACCAAAATTGTTGTATAGTTATCGTCGGGAAAAGACTTACTATATCAACTTTGTAGTAGACAAGTTTACATGAAATGCATGCTTTCAGTATCACAAAAATAGTTATAATATAAATTTTGATGAAGGAAGTATAATAAGTTTCAGATTGGAAATTCCTATACCTTTTATCGATGATTTGAAGTATAAAAGTAACGGTTTGCCCTGTAAACTGCTGTTCTTCATTTCATTATTATTATATACTATATTTGTATACGATTACTGATGTCACTTTCTGGAAGGATGTCATCATCCTCCACAAGTTCAGATTCAGAGTTTACGGCAGAAAGTAGTGGAAATGAAAGTTTGTCAGATCATCAAGAAACTGCTACAACTGATCTAACCATTCGACAAGGTGTGTTTTTCATTGTCCCTTATTTCATTCAGTTATGGTGAAAGTTAAAATTCGAATATAATAGATTTTATCTATTTAAACATTTTTTACGCTGAAGTTTGAATTGATATAAAAAGGCTTTCGTGACAAAGTTTAAGTTGAAATAAAAAAAGATTCCTTTTATATCCACTTTCTCACAATGACACCTGACAACTGCATTGATTATTCTTCTGAGTCCATCTAGTAATTCACTTTTTGGTCCTTGCTCACTCCAAATATGAAGAAGTGAGTTTTAGAAAGTTGCAATGATTGAAGAAAATTTTTCCAAAAAAAGGAACATGTAAATTTTTTTTTTTTTTTTATTGAAACATTCGATTTGATTATGATTTAAGGAAAAATTATTAGCAAGTTGTTGATTTCTTATGCTTCCAAATTCAAAAATTACAAATTGCATTATTCTGAAGAATTTAAAAATCTTTTCTAAATTTCAAAGGATGTGACTAAATTTCTTTAAAGAGAAAAATTAGTTTAATTGTCTAGAAAGATATTTGTTCCTTTCATATTTAACCAATGAGCTTATAGGACATGGTTGTGAACGGGTCACCTACCCAAAAGGAGCTAATTTTGCAAAAATAGAAAAAATTTCTCTTAGCCTCTCTTTCTTTCTTACGCTATTCCTGCAGTTTAATAAAATCGTCAAAATAAAGTATCACTTAAAACTCTTCTCTTCAATCATCAATTTGTGCATTCATTGATTTCGTGATTTCCTCTTAAAAAAAAACAGAATCTTGAAAGAAGATGAAATTTCCACTGGACATAGGGCTTTCAACGCGAATTGTTTTGTAACATATTTGAAAATGGGAAAATCCCACTTCGTGAGAAAACATGAGGGAAATTGTTGGTGGGAAACTGTTGACAGATACACAAATACTTTCTTCGAAAGATATGAGAATGAAAATCTTAACAGAAGAAGTCGATAATTCTTCTGTTTAATAGTGTAGTACTTAAGTTAGATGGGGGAAGTATTTTGCATCACATTCTATAAAATAAAATTCTTTGAAATTAAAAAATGCCTTTCTTCTTTTAGGATCACCGACAAAAGATAATGGAATCAATACAGCAGGGAAAAAATTCGAGGAAGGCAACGATGAAGAAATGTCATCTTTTGGAAGTTCAAGAAGTGACTCGGATACGAAAGACGGTGAAAGTGATGCTTCCGGTTCGAAAAGTAAGAATAAGTGTTAGCAGAGATCTCTTTTTCAGCTCTCTATATTACTTGGAAGAAATAATTTTACTCCATAACTTTTCTTTTTCTTTAATTGACTAATTGAAAGACGGAAACCAATCGTTATGGAAATCAACACATAACCTATATGCATATTTATAGAGAGTGAAAATGGTGAATGTAGTGTTAATGAACGAAAAAGTGATTCAGTGTTCAGTGCTGAAAGTGGTGATGGAGAAGTTGCTACGATAAAAAAGAAACGTGGTGTCAAAATTACTGATGAAACAAGAAAGGTATGGTTGAAAAAATTTTCTCTGTAACTGTTTCTCTGTAAGAATTAATCTGTAAACTCAAAATTATATCAATTTAGTGCTTAATTTGAGAAGGTTGCCTGTTAAATTCGAAGTAGTTTTACTTGTGAAAAGCAAGATTGTGGGATGAAATGACGTAGCTCATAATAAGTCCAAGATATCATAATTGAAGATGACCAACCAGAAGTCAACTGACTCATTCATGTTATTGATATTACTGCTGTTCACATTATTGACAGTTATATTTTATTAAGTTTCTGGAAGATGAGAATATATTACGGCGATCTTCAAGGCAACGTAAGGAAACAGTCAGTCTAAATACGGAGAAGGGAACAGAAAAAACAGCAAAAAAATCCGATAAAAGGCATTTTTTTTTATTATAATTGTGTTAATAATTCAGGAGTTTCATTTCCTCTAAATCTTTTTCAAGCTAAAAACTTAAATCTTCTTTTCTCTTACAGGGATTTTCCACAGTCCGAGGAAGATGAAACAACTGGCAGTGAATCATCGTCGGAAATTGCACTGCCAGAAAATGTGCGTCAAAAACCAAAGAAACTGAAAGAAAGGAAGCGGCTCCGAAAACGCGGTTTAAGTTCCGATGATTCGGGTGGAATGCGTCCCACACGTAGGAGCAAAGTTGTTGGTGATAAAAATCGCATCAATTATCGAGATATTAGTTCGGATGAAGAGGTCTTATCATACTATTTTTCTTGCAATAAAGACTGTTACTAAGTTTATAACTTAAGTAATGTATTTGCAATAGCAATAACGCAAATTTAGAGTGCCATAAGGTGTTATCAATGCGAGAGACATGCAGGTAAAATAACTAAATGCTTCTAAAATTCGGAATGAAAAAAATTTAATTTATGATAGAGTGGTTGGTGATTAGAAACAAAGATTTACCTAAACTGCATAGTCTGAGGTGCTACTGTCATCTTATCATTATTTCTATATTATTCATATAGACCTGCAGTGCTTGTAACTGTTTACCTAAACTGCACAAATATTGTTGTCTTTATGCGTTCTCTCTCTTGTAAGCGATTTAATAACTTCTATCTGATTTTTGATCAGAATTACTCACCATGTCATAGATTTACATAAATATCTCTATCGCATCTTTCTACCATAATGTCGCGACCATTTTGGGAAATTAAATGATATGAATCCATGATTAGCTTAAGTTATTATTTGCAGTATTTAATGCGCATTCAGATGCTAATGGATTATTTAATGATGCATAGAGGTTTACACAGTGTAGTATTCCATCTTCACTTTCAGATCAATTCTGATGATGTGTTAGAATGGGATGAAGGTGATAAAGTAGAAGGTGCTGGTTCAACAGATCATAATACTTCGTGTAGTGAAACGATCGAAAAGGTATTGCGTCATCGAGCAGGATATCCAGGTGCAACCGGAGCATCGACAACATGCTACAATGTGGAGGATAAAGGTGACCCGAATGTTAAATTGGCAGGTACTAATTGTCAAAAAATTTCATTTTACATCTGTAGTAATAGCATGAGGAAATAAATGAACAATGAATGATTTTCTACAAGCTTATGCTAATGTTGTTTTATTAATTTCTTCTTTCCAAGATCACTCATAGATCAGGATAATAGCCTGCAAATTAAATTTTAAACAATATTACAATAAAATTCAATTGTGTGAAGTGTTTTAGTTCTTAATCTTTGAACTTATCCGAGAACATTTTCCTAGTTTGCAAGGTTGTAAATCTGATTTCAACATATCTGATCTGTGCATGACTATATGAGGCAAGGCATTGCTGACAAAATTGTTCTGTCCTGAGTACTAATAAAAAAGAAAAGATTATGTTTCCAGAAAATGGCACTGAATTGGAATTGGAACGCCAGTATTTAATCAAATGGTTAGGCTGGTCACATCTTCATAATACATGGGAGTCGGAAAATAGCTTAAAGCTGTGTAATGCAAAGGGATTGAAGAAAATCGATAATTATATGAAACGTTTAAGAGATATCGAAGAATGGTTAGTTTTACCAGTTGAAGTGCATTTGGAATTTGATTTGAAAAAATGAAGAGATTAAGAATGTTAGTTTCAGCAGAAGGGTGGATTAAGAGCTGAGAGAGAAATGAGATGGAAATTCAGAGTTTTTTCATAACTCAGATAGAAATTCAAAATTCTTTCATAATTTTTTTTTTTTTTTTTCATAATCAATACAGTTTGTATAGTTGGATAGTTCCAGGAAACTTACTGCAGATAAAGAATATATCGAATTTTTTGATTGTGAACAGCAGATGAATGACGAACTTAATGAACAGTATAAGGTAATACACACTAATATATGAGATAGAAATGATAGATAGAGAGAGACGAACAGAGGAGATTGAGATTGGGACAACTTAATTTTCTTTAGATTTCAGCTAATAATTGTTTTCATATTTTTCATATTTCACAAATTTGTAAGAATGACTTCAATCATTCTGTGGGTTTTAAATTTATCGTTGGAAAGCATTCCAATCATTCATTTAATGCTGAAATTCTCGATAAAAATGGAATGAATTTCAAGTTAGAGAGGAATTAATATGTAGTTAAATGTATAAGAGTATAGTTGATGTAGTTAAATCTTCTTCATTTAGCACATAACTAGTCACAAATAAATCCATACAGTTCTCGAATAAATTCTTTCAGGTTATTGAACGAGTAATAGCTCATCAGATATCACGTAGTCAAGGTGAAAGCGAAGGAACAGAATATTTTGTGAAATGGTGCGGCTTACCATATTCCGAATGCACATGGGAAGAGGAACATTTGATCAAACGACAATTTCAGGATAAAATTGATGCATATTATGATCGACGTGATAATGGAAAAATACCGAATAAACATTGTCCGGTTTGTTTTCAAAAATTTTTATTCTGCTTGAAAAGCGTGTATAATAATATATTGCGATGTGAAAATGTTAAATTAGGATTTCCCAAGTTTGATACACAGTGTATATCCTTTTACTTACTATATTACCATTTAAGCGTATTTTAGTTTAAAATACATTAAGTTTGCATATCTTTCTCTACATAATAAATCTGTATGGTCTTTTTATATGTGTTTTTACATCATTGTGATATCTTTATAGCGTCTCTTTCTGTGGTAAGCTCTCTTATCCTTCTTTATAGAGATAGGCTACCGGCCCACATAGAATAAGTCTTAGCATCATTTTCTTCTCATCAACATCTCTTTCTCCAGTTTCCAATTTAATTTATCTTTTTCTCAAACTTTTATTTTTTAAAACTGATCTGGTCATCGACATTTTTGCAGGCTTTAAGAAGACGACCAAAATTTGAAAAGCTGAATAATATCCCTAATTTCCTTCAGCGAAAGGATGATCCAGAGCATGAGTTACGCGATTATCAATTGGAAGGAGTGAATTGGATGTTACATGCTTGGACAAAGTTTGTTTTGTAATTTTAATATGATTAAAATCCTGAATTGCTTGATTACTAATAAAAGTTGGGGGCTATGGTTTAGAACATTAATATCATTTTGTGGATTTATTTCCGTTAGTGATTGGTTTATATTCGTATATGACAGAACGTAAAATTCAAAAATAATAAAAAAAAATGCATATATGGTGGACAGTATCAGTCCAACACAAGTCGGACTTACATTATAATAAATGAAGAAATACAATTTGACAGTAATTTTGAAGGGTTTCATCAGTAAAAAAAAAGAGATATGAATGTGGTCGGGTAAATATATTTGATTTGAATAAAAGTAGCCTCGACGCAATATATTTTGTTGAGAAACGGACCTGTGTTGGGTGGAGACAGACGGTCAATCATTTCTAAAACTTGTTTTAAGTTCTTGATATTTAAATGATTTTTTAACGTTTTCCAGGGAAAATAGTTGTATACTTGCGGATGAAATGGGATTGGGTAAAACGATTCAAAGTATTAGTTTTCTTTCGGTACTGTATCATAAATACCAGTTGTATGGGACATTTCTGGTCGTAGTGCCATTAAGTACGATGGCTTCTTGGCAACATGAATTCGAGACTTGGGCACCAGATCTTAATGTTGTCACCTATGTTGGTGATGTTACAAGCCGTGATCTGGTCATTAATTTTTTCCTTATGTATTTATATATTCGTATTTTTTTCTTAACTATAAGTTAGCATACGCTGTAACTATAATCTTTTAAATTGATGAACTATTACTTAAAACGGAAGCAATAGAAGTTTGCCTTCCGCAAATATAAGTAATGGATAATTTCATAACAGCTGAAATGCTCAGTGAAATAATTAGCTTGTTGATACTTTATAGTTTTTACAGTCAGTATAGTAATTTTTTAACTTGTTATTGTGGTATATTTAATTACTTACAAAATCCAGTTGCATAATCCAACAGCAGAAGTGCACCTTATAATTGCGTATAATAAGATAATTTGATTGGGTTGCTCATATAAGGTAGAAATTAAAAAGAATTGCTTTACAGATAAGGCAGTTCGAAATATATGTACAGAGCACAAAACGTCTGAAAATGAATGTCGTCTTGACTACCTACGAAATCCTTCTGAAAGATAAGGCAAATTTTGCATTATTGATATTTGCAGGAAGTTAATAAGAGATCCAAGATACTTAATATTATCCTTCGTGTATGAATTTTGTTATATGAATTACTGTGTTATCCGTAGATCCGTTCGACTCCAGGATGGCTGAAGGCCCATGAAGTAATCTTTGTAAATTTTTTTTTCGACGATGTCTTAAATAAATTAATTTTTACATTATTTTAGTCTTTCCTTGGTTCATTTGAGTGGGCTGTGTTAGCTGTTGATGAAGCACATCGTTTAAAAAATGATGAGTCACTGCTGTATCGTTCGTTGTTCGAGTTTACAACAAATCATCGGTTACTAGTAACCGGAACGCCACTTCAAAATTCATTAAAAGAACTTTGGGCCTTGCTTCATTTCATTATGCCTGAAAAGTAAGCATTCAGAGAGTTGACTTTTCTGCTTTTTGAAAGTAGGGTTGAGGATCCTTTAGTATATTAATGCTTTATGTTCCCGAGATACGTTAGCTTGAAACATAACATTAAGTTTTAGATGTAAAGCGTGTAATAAACTGTTGATATCATCTACCTTAATAAATGTCTTGTCACATGATTTGTACTTCATAAACTTATTTGTACTTCATAAAAAAAGAAAGACGAAGCCATAAATTTAGAAAGGTCATTCTATAAAAGTGAAATTTATTTATTGTACATTCTTGTTTATCACAATAAATTTACTGCGATAAAGGAGCACAGTAAATTTAATGTTTCTACTATTGGCTAGCGCTGTCACATTTGTGGTTTAATGTCCAATTTTTTTTCACTGTGGAAAAGATGAAAAGATGAAATAGTAGGATAACATTTAAGAATACTTAGATCATCAGAAAAGAAAAAAGTTATTTGTTCTGGTCTCAAACACTAACTGCTTTTTAATTTTTTTCTTATAGATTTGATAGTTGGTCAGAATTTGAAGCGGAGCATCATGACTCGGATCATAAGACAATTGCATCTTTACATCGAAAACTTCAGCCATTTTTGCTAAGACGTGTAAAAAAGGACGTGGAAAAATCATTGCCAGCTAAGGTTGCATTTATCATTATTTGTTGTTTACATAGATTTTTAAGAAATTTCGAAGTCAATTTTTGAAGTTTACTTAGTTCGACAGTCCGTTCTTTGTTTCTTACAACGAAAGAATTGACGCTTGAAATATGGGCATTGTGTGTATCTGCGGAACAAACCAATATTCCTTAGATCCTTCCATTTAATATTTCGGTTAGGATCTCAGCAGTTTAACGTGCTTTCAGGTTGAGCAAATTCTACGTGTAGATATGACTGCCCAGCAAAAACAATATTACAAATGGATTTTAACCAAAAACTACAAAGAGTTATCAAAAGGTGTGAAAGGATCTATTAACGGATTTGTGAACTTGGTTATGGAACTGAAGAAATGTTGCAATCATTCTTCACTTGTTCGGTCATACGATCAAGCTGAGGAAGGTGCGGATGCCCGACTACAGGTTTATCTTTATGATGAAATCGAAATTTCAACATGTTTGAAACTGACAGAAAATCCCTAAATCATTGTGAATTCTAAGGACTTTGGAAAGAATATAAAAATAATCTTCTGATATTCTACGTAGAACAATTTTTCTCATTCTGTCATATCAGTCGTCGGACTGAGTATGACAGGATGTAGATCGATAAAAACCTGATCTTAACTTTGTTATCGACGTGGTTAATAATTTTATGAAACCACCAGTTTAGTTCGACCTGAATTCGGTTTAACCTTTTGTTTTAAATATTGATATAGTATTTCGTTTGTTTTGATTTTCATTTATTCGAATATTTCGTTTATTTGGATAGCTTAATTAAATTTTATATCGGATTTGGATTTCATTCTCTTCGAATTTCAAGTTGTCACTTTTTTTTTTTTTCAAACTGAAGTAAGAATATTTCAGCAACTATTGAAATCTTCTGGGAAATTGATTTTATTGGACAAATTATTATGTCGTTTGCAAGAAACTGGACATCGGGTGCTAATTTTTTCACAGATGGTGATGATGCTTGATATTATGCAGGAATATCTTCAGCTTCGACGTTTCCCTTCACAGGTAGATATTCAATCGAATTCATTCTAATAAGTTGTTTGCTTTTTTCAAAACTTGAGCAAAAGGCGTATTGGAGTAAAATGATGTGGAATATATTTTCTTGAAAGACGATAAAGTAAACATGTCAGAAGCTCAAAATAAGTTAGGGAATTATTGAAACATCTTACTGAATGCCAAGTGGTCGAACAAACAGTTGATTTCTAGGTAGATGTCGTAAGGAATAATTCATTTCTGGGTGGATGTACATATAATAAATAACTGATTTAACATTTCTTTACTTATCATCTGATATTCAGCTAATCCATTAGTTATAGTGGTCTGAGTGCATTACGTTGAAATTTGAAGACATTGAGATATCAAAATCCATCAATACTATATTTTATGGATTTAATTATTCGTTAATTAGTGTAATTATATTACGCATAAATTTAAATTTCAGAGATTGGATGGATCAATGCGTTCAGATCTTCGGAAGGCAGCGTTAGATCATTTCAATGCTCCAAATTCTCCTGATTTTTGTTTCTTACTCTCAACCCGAGCTGGTGGCCTTGGAATAAATCTGGCCACAGCGGATACAGTTATTATTTTCGATTCAGACTGGAATCCACAAAATGACTTACAAGCAATGAGTCGTGCGCACAGAATTGGCCAAAAAAAGCAGGTAATATAGATTACAATTTCAGATCTTTATTAAAAGAAAATTTATGTTTCCTCAAACCATCAGGTAGCTATTGTTTTGTGCTTGAAGTTTAAGGCTTCGCTAATTTATGGCGATTATGAAAATAATTTCCATGGCTTGTTAAGGTAAACATATATCGCTTGGTGACAAAGGCATCGGTAGAGGAGGAAATTGTAGAAAGAGCAAAGAGGAAGCTAGTCTTGGATCACCTTATTATTCAGGTGCACTTGCTTAAATTTTACTTCTATTATAGTGATTATGATGAAATAACCAACAAATTAAAAATTTTCAGGGAAATCTAGATTTTCAAATATTGAAGTTCAAGAATTAGAGAAATTGCAGAGGATGGATACAACTGGTCGAACGGTGCTTTCGAAAACTACCGTAACAAATGGTACAATGCCATTTGACAAACAAGACTTGGCAATGATTCTGAAATTTGGTGCTGAAGAGCTTTTTAAAGAAAAAGAAGGTGAAGAACAAGAACCAGAAGTTGATATTGATAATATTTTGCAAGGTGCGGAAACTCGGGAATGTGATCAACAGGTATTCAGGAGAGAATTCTCTTCTGTCATTTTTTTCATTTTAATACTCATCAACAACATCATTCTTAAGAATATCGGTGGGATAAATTTGCTTTGGTACAATGGGATCCACAAAATTGCGCTTATAAACTAACGAATTAATCGAAGTTTGCAGAATTCTGGTAGCGAATTGTTGAATGCATTTCGTTATGCAGATTTTTCATTTGATGAGAATAAAGATGTACCATCGTTGAACGTAACAACAGCTCAAACGGAAATAAACCAGAAAGATTTGACCACATCGAAGTCGTGGGATGAAATTATTCCAGAAGTTGATCGCAAGAAATTTGCTGATGAAGAGCGTGAACGAGCCGAAAAAGAACTTTTCCTTGGACCAAGACAAAGAACAAAGGTGCGCTGTAATGATTAACTTTTCGTCTTTAAATTTTAATATTCTTTTATAGCTTACACCGATTCATTCACTGACTGCCTTGTTAGTGGATGAATGAAACGAACTGATTCGAAGTAATGTAATACTGCAGTGTATAAGACATATAGTGATGTCCTTATGTCGCACCATCTATTTGGTCAGATTTGATAGCACTTCTTCATTAAGTGATGATCAACCTAAGTGACTTGAGAAACAGAAGCGACTCAATATTCAATGATGTTGCTGATAAGATCTGATAATTGGAGAAGTGTTTGGGTGGTATGTATACATATAAGCTCAGTCGCTTCAAGCGAATACATTGTCAGTACGGATTTATCCATTTACTATCTTATTTATAAATTAAGTTTAAATTGCAGAGTTAAATTTGAGTATTCTGCAGATTCCTGAGGTAGCTGCGGAAGCTGGCAATAGTGACGAGGATGAGAAGAAGAAAAAAAGGCGGAAACGTGGCCGAGATTCACCATTAAGCGAAGAAGAAGGTTCCGATGAGGATAAGCGGAAACGTGCACGAAGGAAATTGTTATTTAATTTCACTGAATCAGAAGTAAGGAGATTCATACGGAGTTTCCGCAAATTTGCAGAACCTCTGACAAGGTGAGAGTTTTATTGTAACTGATTCAGTTTACCATGAAAATTTTTGAAACGAAATTTTTAGAATCCTTTTATATTGACATTTGAAGTCTTTTGCACAAGGGTCAATTGCATTACAGATTAGAAGCAATAGCGCAAGATGCAGAATTAGAAGAATTTAGTAAAAATGAACTGGAACAGCTTGGTAATGAATTGTTAGCCGGTTGTCAGAAAGCTCAAGCTGAATATGAGGAAAAGATCAAAGAAGCAATGAAGAAGCCTATGGAAGATGGTAAAAGAAGACAGGTTTGATTTTCAGTACAAAATTTCAACTTTTAGTTTTTGCTGGTTTTTCTACCTTTTCAAATTCAGAAGATGGAGAAACAGATATTGGAATTCAAGATTGATGATAATTCAAATCAATTTTTCTTTTGAACAGTTCATAAAAAATGTAATTGCAATTTCTCAGGATCGTGGAGCCATTTTTAAATTTGGAAATATTGACGTCTATGTTCGACCACTATTGAAGATGCAGTCAGATCTTATACCGCTGCATAATCTTGTCAAAAGTGTTGGTGATATCAGATTGCTACAAATTCCGGGTTATCCGAAGGAACAAAAAGGTTGGGATGTTGAATGGGATATCGCGGATGATTTAGCACTGCTGAAAGGCATCTATCAATATGGTCTCGGCAGTTGGGAAGAAATCAAAATGGATCCCAGTTATGGTTTAGCCGAAAAAGTTCGTGTACCTTTTATGGTTTGTGCTGTTCAAAAAAAAAAAAATCTTAATTCAAAATTATTGGTGGAAGGCTTTAACACCCGAAATAGAAATGAAATCATGTACGAGAAATAAAATTGATTTTTCTTTGCTTCAGATCTGGTTGAAGGATAAAAGCAAGAAACCGCAAAGTAAGCATATTCAAGCACGAGCGGAATATCTTTTGAAATATCTTGCCCGTAGTACGAAGGCTACAGAAAACACTTCAACGAGAATGAAACCTTTAAAAAAAAACCATCCTTCAGTTTCATCAACTTTAGGAATACCGGTGAATACAAAATTTTCTTCTTTGGTGAATTCCTTTAACTTAATTAAATCATTAAATTCATCCAACAAATTGATGGCTTATAATGTTTAAATTCTAACATGTTTCACGCCATTAATGCAGATATCATGGAAATTCATAATTTTGTTGTTTCGCATTAGTCCTAAATTTTCTACACTTGTTTTTTGAATATGATACGTTGCTTCATTTAATGATATAAGTGCTAATTCAGGATAAACCAAAGGAAAGAAAAACACCTAAGGAAGAAAAGAAAGAAAAGAAATGTAAAGGAGAACATGGAGATGAAAGAGATGATGCTGAAAAAAGAGAATCAAAAGTATTCGTGGTTTTTATTTCTGTGCAACTCTTTCGATTTTAACATATTTACCATAATTACAACTATAGTTGAGATGAGATATCAGAGTAATGGAAGCTAGTGATAGTAGTCTATATCTATTATCAATATAAATTATTATGATTTCCATTTTAAATTCCCGACAGATTTATTTTCCAGCTTAAGAAGGAGCGAATTGGGATTAGTTTGGATCATTTGACCATCAACAAGTCGAAGTACAAAAAAGACGTTGAGAACAAGAAGTCATCACAGTTTGCAGAGGTTACTGTTTGTGTAGAATAAATATGATGTCAGCAAATAAGCTTTTGCATTTGATGTTTGAGTAGAAGAGATTAAAGAGGTCGATAAAGATTGAATATGATGGTATGTTGTGGGAAAATAATGCAGATATGTACCAGTATTTTAGTGAGCACATTGCACTGAATGGCAGAATAGTTTCTAGAATCCTCTAAAGACAAACTACTTCACAAATGATGTTTGATATTTGACTGATGACGTAACTGCATCAACTAATTATAGATTTTTTTGAAATATTCGTGCTTTAATTATATTAGTTGTCATCTTCGTTAGCGCTTTGTATCATGAAGCTAGAAGATTTGGTAGTTTTGACATAGAACTTAACAGAATATGAATATAATGTAAAGTCAGTAATCAAACAAATTAAGGAGTTTGTGAATTTTAAAAACGCAATTTATAAATTGATAAAGTGGTTTTATCAACTGTGTTTGTTTACGAGGTCTGTAAAAGAAATGCATTCTTTCAGTGTGTCAAAATCATGCGACCTGCTCAAAAGTACATGCGAAAGCTGGTACAGTGCGATGACTTAAGCTCGACTGATTCACTGCGACATTTACTCAAAATTGGTGATCATATCAATGGACATCTTGGAAAAATTGGCTTAACGTAATTTGAATTAATTTCTTTGTTTAAAGCCGCACATTTATATTTTCATTATAAGAAGTCCAATATTTCTTTTCTTTCTAAACATCACTTTACAATTTTTAGGAATGGTACACTGTAAGTAATTGAAAAATATACAGTAATATTGACATGCTAAGTTTTTATAACAAGACACCTAAGCCTAAAAAATTAAAAGCCTTTTGTAAAATTGCACTTATATCAATGAACAAAACTAAAAAGAAGATAGAAAAAAAAACGTGCACATAGGGGATTCCCGATTTTTTCTAAAATACAGCTATTTGAAAGTCTATTTTTTAACATCCCCTTTATGTTGTTCAACACTTTTTGGATGACCCTTACAGTCAAATTGCATTTTACAATTTCAACGCACGTGTTCAGATTTCACATTTCATTTTGGGTTCATGTAATTAAATTACCTTTATAAAGAAATCACTTGATGTAATTGTGTTTGATATCTTACTGTGTTTAATCTAATTGCTTTTTTTAAATCCTTCTGCTCATTGCAGTCTAATTATTTTAAATTCCTAATTACAGTTTGCGAATTTAATTAATACTTAATTACAGTAAATCACAACTTGTGGAAAAATGGCACTCTTATTTATGGATTTTTTTGTCGTGTTTTACTCGCCAAGAACCCAGCGACCTACTCCAACGCTATCGTATTGCTGCAAAAGATCGTGCTAGTAATAATGAAACTGTATGATTTGATTTGGTTATTTGCCTGAAATTTTCAAAAAAATCAAGCAATTTTGGCGTTTTAGTTATCCCAAAGTTTATGAATTCAAGTACTCGACAATTGACGTTTTTTCCATTAAAAGTTTTCTATATTTGAAATTTCTGACAGGATTTTGTGAAAATTTTTTGTTTAAACTGTAAAGGAATGTAGTTTTTTTTTTTAGGATTCTCATCGTAAGCATCACCATCATCGTCATCATCATCATCATCACAATGCTAAGAAAAGTCAACAAGATGATAAACCAACAGCTGACACAAATGAAGTTATGGATATTGGTATTGCTATAGGTGAACGAAAAGAAGACAGTAATATGATTACAACCGAAAGCGATCGAAGAATTAATAAGAATTCAAAATATATTCGTTTAAGCAATGATGGGTGTCCACTAACGAGGCATCATTCGAGTAGACCAGAAATTCAAAAACTGCAACATTCCGTAAAACATGGAGTCAAGGATGACAATCGGTTAGTCGATAAAACTTTGAGAATTTTTGATGTGAATTCATGAACTATAATTCGTGACACTTGGTTTATTCCAAATCTTTCCGGTGTTAAACGTTCGGCCACAACTTTGATGGTTTACTGATATGCTTTTTAATTGAAATAAGAACATATAGATTTCTTGTAAGAAATTCAATGTTTTCAACTAGAATGCATTCAGCATTATGTTTGTTAAGATAATTGAATTTTTTGCTTTGCTCTCCTTAGGTGAATGTTTTGATTTTTATCATCTGTACTTAGTAATATTTCTTTTGAATGTTGAAGTCATTAATCTTCTGATGATAGTTTAGAGCAGAAAAGAGGCAAGTTTTATATTATAGTGGGAGAAGCTAATTAGAAGTGCTCAGTCTTTATATTAGAAACACATATATGGAACATATAGTCCTTTCTAAACATAAATTGCATTGAAGATAAAGATTTGAGAAGAAAATTTTCGGTTGAATTCAGGTAGTTTTTTATAATTTTGACTGGAATTAATGAACTTTAAAATTAATGTAGAGCTGGTATATCAAACGACGATTTTGACACTTATAAGCCATCTGTGTCGCAATTGCAACAACCCAGTTTATTATATTCGAGCCATAATGAGAATGATAGCTATAAAGATTCGTCGTATCGATACCGCGGAGATTACAGTGGCAGCAGTGGAAGCAGTTTCCATCGTACTCATTATAATCACACAAATTATCGAGACAGAGCAAGAGGTGGGCGACATGAGCACTATCCTTATAGGGAACACCGACGAGAGCACACTTACAACCGTGACAAAGGTATGTTTGGAGGATATTTTGACATGAAGATTTTCATTACTAGTACGCTTTGTGCTTTTGTACTGTATTGGACTTGACTCCTGTTATTGATTTGATTCTACTTCCTAAGAAACGCGATTTTCCAAGCTTATTTTCTCCAGATTAAACTGCAGTGATTGTTGCTAAGTGAAGCTTAGTTTATTACAGTGCAGGAATATATTCATCTCAGTAAAAAGTAATAACAATTTTTAGGTGATCGAACTTCATACTGGGAACGAAGTTACACAGATCTGTATCGTGATCACGGTGATCGTGATTATCGGCAAGAATTCCGTCATGCGTCCGGTCCATCTAGCTCTAGTGCTAATAGCAGTTCGTCACAGTGGTCTGGAACACCAGCCGGCTTATCATCTCATTCTGCTCCATCACTCCTGAACGGTCCTGCTTCATCTTTTAGTTCATCATTATGTCCTCCACCTGGACTGCTTGAAATCAAACCTCTGTCATCCGTCGCCACTGAACCCAGTACATCCCATACGTCGTTTATGCGGCCACCACCGATACCACCACATCTCAATCGTTTTGGAACCAGTGATCCCACTACCAGTAAAATAGATAGTACCAGAGATCCAAGAAGGTAGTGTTAAAACTCACTTCATTTTCTGTGTTTTTCCTCTTTCCTTTCAAAATATTACGGGTCAAGCAACTATGCATATGATTTGTACATTTATTTTAGAATTTCAATAAAAGGCTAAAAGGCAAATTTTAGTTCGTCACTGCTTTAATTTAAGAAAGAAGTTGCAAAAAATTGTTCCCTACTCTGCATTGTATGGAATTTTTGTAGAAATTTTCCGCATCTTGTTTTAATGATTTTCCGAAATGTCTTTTTTTGTATGAGAATTGTTTAAAGAAAGCATGGCACCTAAAATATTCAGTTAAAATTGTGATTAGCAGTTTAGCACCCGACGTTTTTCTTTTTTAAAATTATTTACTATTGCTTGCCTGCTTTGTGCATATTTATAAGTGATTGTTAATATGTTAATAATAGGAATGAAATAATGGAAGTGGAATTTTAGAAAAAGTTTTGTTTTTCGTCTTTTCCACGTAAGGAAACCTATAAGCTTCCATATTTAATTACCAGAACAGTTAAATATGTCAAAAACTTGGAGGTTCGGTTAACTGTTAAGATTTGGGTGGTACATGTGGTGGAATTCGAGTGACATGTCAAATCTATTTGTGAAGCGGTAACTGATGTTAGTCATGCTAGTACAAACTCAATGATGTAAAGTTTACGTGGCGATAATCTCGTGTTTTTTTTTTTTGTTTTAAAACTTTCTCTTCCATATTTCGTGCCGTAACAAACTATTCATGTACTATTTTTGCATATTTCTGAATCGTTGTCTATTTACATTACTTCCCGCTCCTTTATGTATTGTTTCTGACTAGCTATTTCACCTAATTTGTATTAAATAATATATGGTAGAGTGTATTTGACCATATATTTTCAAACCATGATCATATGCAATAACTGGTAGATATGCACGGTTTTAATTCTGCAATCATTCATATCACCGTGAATTCCTGATATCAATGGACATCAAATGGAGTGATCAATAGGACAACGACTTTTAATGATAGCAGGAATGGCTTCGGTAGAGATTGAATTCAGCTGGTTAAGAGGTTGTTGGGGTAATATATCGTTGTAATAATTGGAGTTCAGGAGTGAGGGATAACTGGGAACTATAAAGTAATTGGATATCAAGGCTATAACTTCTTGCAATTATGGGTAGGATGATTCGAATTAACAATATAAAACCCGAACTGGAATTACATAAGTATGGGTCAATTCAAATTTAAGCTATGACGAATTAGTCCAGGATACGGCACACTTCACGCATAAAGAAGTGTGGATTAAGCATTATCATTGATATTAAAAATAATGCGTGAAAACAATCGCTTCATATTAAAGATGATACGTGATCTGACTCTTGAAGACAAGTCAAATTATCGGAACGTACATTTACTTCCTTTGAAAACATAAGCAAATCTAGTAACTGAGGAAGGAGGGGAGAGCAAAGAATTAGAAGAACTAGGAAGGGATTCAAAAAATGAAATTCTGTGCTTAGTTTGTGCCATAGTGCGTGCATCTCAATTTCTTTCCAGTCATAACTAGTCGTAAGTCCGTATATTTAATTAAGTTAGAGTTAAAAGTCAGTTGTCCTTGCGGACTTGACATGCGTGACCTCTAAACGAATTAAGTGACCACCCCACGTAGGACCAATCACTACCAATATCACTTGTAGTGCTTATATTTAACGGGCCACTACTCTCGCGTTACGGCCATATTAGTTGTTGTTGCGACGGGTGTAGTAGGTCTTTGTTCGGTCGCTGCTTCGCGGGGTGATTGCTGGTGTGTTTGAGGGTTTGGGGTGGTCGTATGTTTTTGGTGGTGCGGGGGATTGCTATTCGGGGTGGAAATAGACTCGGTATGAAGTATATACCGGGATAGGATGATTACAATGGGATGAGTCATTGTGGGACAATTGAAATCTTAATTTCTAATTTTGTTTTGCTTAAGATAGGAAATAATGAAAAGATATATGTTTTCATAATTTTTTGATTGAAGTACTATTATCGAACTTAGACATGAAGTTGTCGTAATTAATTATCTTGCTGGACTTTTATATGCTTTTTAATAATTTCCAAAATTTAGACCAATAATGACGGATTCTGGTAGTGATGATGAGGTTCAAAACAAAATAAATCTGAAAGTGAAGACTACTACGGAAGGCTATGATGTTATGGTGTCGGAAAAAGCTACCGTTTTAAAGGTTGCGTTTGTTTCATTGTATAACCTTTTTGTTTCTGCTATTTTACATATAGAATGTTGTTTTTTTTTTTTTTTTTTTTTTTGTTGTCATTATTGATTATGCTGTTCACATACAATTACTTTTAAAATTCGTTTCTTATATGAAATATGAAAGTGCCATAGGCCACAAATTCTCTGTTTCTTTTATTCTTTGTTTGGTTGTGCATGCTATCACAGCACTGGTGGAACATGACTAGGAAAGTACTTTTCATCACATTTTTTTTTTATTCCAGTGAAAATTAAGATCGAAAATTAGAGATCCATATTATTATAATGATTGGAATTCCAGGTTAAGGCAGTATTGTCAGAAAAAATTAATCAACCACCTGAAAAACTTTGTCTCATATTTTCCGGGAAGATTCTGAAAGACCATGAGACACTCAATAAACTTTGTAAGTTCAATTTTACTTTGGCTTTTTGTAGTACTTTTCTGGGAAACTCTTCTTTATAAGTAGAGTTAATAATGAATGCGACAATTTATTACTGGCATTGTATCCCTAATCTCTTTCCCAGTAATATTCAGGAATAGTTTATATGAGATTGATAAGACACATTGAAGGGAATAATAGCTTGGTTTGAATTGGATATTTTATATTTTATAGTGATCATATTTCATTACTGTTTTAAATCTTTTAAACAAATTAATTTCAGCGATTAGAGATGGTATGGCAATTCATCTTGTTATACGTAATTCACAGCGGGTAAGAAGAATTTAATTTAATTTTTATTCGTTCGATTTTTTTTTTAAGATTAACTTTATTTCTATTTTATTTGCTACTATTAACGTATTACAGCCCGCTGCAGCTAGCACTGTTTCTGGAACTGGATCAACTCCAGTAAGTTTCATATTGCTTTTGGTTTTCAAAAATTATATTCACAGTTGTAATAACTCAAATGTTTGCATTAAATATTTCTTTCGCCTAAACTTTATATTCTTAACACATTCTTTCTTCTTGCTCTTTAGTTTTCCTTAAAGTTATTTGTTGAAACAGAGTGCAACATTGGGAGGAAATCCGATGGGTGGTGCATTAGGAATGGCGCAGCACATGATGCAAAACCCGGATGCAATACGCGAGATGACGAACAGCCCAATAGTTCAATCATTGTTGAACAATCCAGACATAATACGGTCACTGATTGCTGATAATCCACAGATTCAGCAAGTTATTGAGGTAGTACTTTCTCCTTTCTGTTTTTATCACAAAACTTGAAGAATAATAAGAATTATTGAGCTGCTGAATTTGTAACCTGAATCACGTTTTGGTCGCTTTTGATCGGTCAATTAATTCCAAGTGTTTGTTTAAGTCAAATCCTGAGCTTGGCCATTTGTTGAATGATCCGGAAGTTATTCGACAAACGATCGAGATGGTGAGAAATCCGAGTATGTTCCAAGAGTTAATGCGTAGCCGAGACCAAGCAATACGGAATCTTCAGGTTTTAATTAACGCTGTTTTATTACTGTCTGATTTACAGCTAATATCAAAACTTACAAAATTTACAATTTATAGTTTTCCTCAATTTAAATGTAATGTTAGGTCCTAAGAGTTGATTGATTGAATGAATGGTTCAGGGTATTCCGGGTGGACAAGCAGCATTACAACGTTTATACCAGGATGTACAGGAACCACTGTTGAACAGTGCAACAAGTACTTTTGCTAACAATCCTTTCGCAACTTTAGCAGATAATTCCAATAATACAGGTTAGATTTCCTATGCCTTATATTATCTTTTTTTAAGATATTCTTTTTTTGAATTAGGAATGATATTATATGTTGACCAATCAACAGTTCGCTGCCAAAACATTTCCAGTCATATAGCTATTATTTAGCATCACGTAGCCAACATGCAGGTGTTGAAAATGCCGAAGCATTGCCAAATCCTTGGGGTAATGCTACCAACACATCTGGTTCCACTCCTGCTAGTGCAGGTCTTGGTAATGGTGCTTCTCAATCTTCCGCAAATTTATTGGCTGGTAAGTTGCTTTCACTACTTTAACGTCTTCATTTTCGCATTTTTCCTAGCACCAGTAGTTATATGGTTTAATTCCCCATGAAGCAAAATATGCACACAACACACACACACACACACACACGTTCTGGTGCTATAGTGCATTGGATAAGTTTTTTTTTCTCCCCTTCTTTCCTCTCTATTTCCCATATATTTTATTGTGTTCCCATCTCAGGAAGTGAATAATCTGGTCATTAATGGTTTGATTTCCAGTTTTGATCGCTGAATAAAGATAATAGATAGAATCTTGTATCTCACTGCCTGTAGCTTCCCTCTTTATGCACCTCACCCGTCGCTGCCTAAAAAAAGAATGTAATCAGAACCAAGTTAAAAATTAAATTCATTGACAGAAGTGGAGTGAATTAATTTGGAGGTTTGCGCAGAGTTATATATACATATATAATTGTTTACTTATATATATATATTCGTGCTTATTTATTTTTATATAGAACCTATTGCCGTTTGCGTATAATTATTTTATATTTCTTAATATTTCCGTTGTAGAACTTGCAAATACCCTTGGTATGCCGGAAAATCCACCAATGTTATCTGACTCGAATGCTTATACACGACTGCTCAACAGCGAGGCGTTTACTAATACTATGAATATGATTCGACAGAATCCATCGTTATTATCACAGGTTTACAGTTTTCCTTTTTTAATTTCTTGTATTTGTGTTTGAAAAGCATGAAAAATATGTTGCTCATAATTTCAGATGCTGGCATCAGGCCCCGCAGTTTCATCAACTATGGAGCAGTACATAC